GTGTACGTCAATGACTAAGCTCAAGAAAAAAATCTAAACGTGAAGAGCAGGCCAACGCTCATGAATATGAGAACGACTTCGCCCTCGCTTTGCACCTGCCCTTGGTGAAAAACAGAGCGCACTCTACGGTTGGGCAGGCTTGAGTTTTGCGGCCAGGGTTGGCACATAAACTCATTGCGAACAACGTGGACCTATGTTCCCGCTCGGTCAGACATACCGTACGAAACAAAAATGAGGCGCTGGCCGACAAAGCTTAACAATATAAATCTGCGTATGGCTTTTTACCTGAAGTGGTGGCCCAGTGTTTAAAATTACGTCGAATTTGGGGACCCAGCGAGCCAATTTTATAGCAGATTTCTTACAGTGTTTTTGGGCCGAGAATCGGCTCGGTAGGCGAGTCTGGTGACCATATCGAGACAACCTTCTTGCGCGAAGTGAGACTGGCCGCAGTCTCCCGAGTGTTAAACCCGAGTGTTAAACTCAGCCTCAGTCAGGACAGCGAGTGCAAGGTAAATGTTTCGAATTTTCAACACTTCCTGACGTTTCTCTCGAGTCTGCCGCGCCTAGGAAAAAGGGAAATAGGGAAAAAGAGAAGAGAGAAGGCTTGGGGAGCTACCAAGGCTATATGCTGCCACATCTCCGAAGTGGGGTGTATTGGCCAAATTGGAACCGAAGCTTCCACCATACAGGCATTGTCCTACGGTACTGATGCAAGGGTACCAAGAGTACTTTACAAGTACTGTACAAGTACTGCACGCGTTTCACACGAACAGTGTGGGGGATGGCCAGATACCCGTTTTGAAGCGCGCTGGCCAATTACACTGCAGACACTGGAGATGCCGGGGCCGTGCCCTGGAGCAGGGCTCTGGCGCCACCTGGGCAGTCATGAAAAGTTACATAAAAGAAATGGAAAAAAAATCGTGAGGCTACAGCCTCGGTCGTGAGGACTTCTGCCGAGTATCTCCCACGTTGGACGCTCTGCTGGCCTGAACTCAAACGACGGTCAAGGCACTCTCCCTGCCCCCATGCACTTAATTTACAAGTATTTTGGTGAACATGTGGGGCCCCATTTCATGCCGTTCCGCCTCCCGCCGCCGGTTGACCACTATATGGACCGACCAAACAGCCATTCAACGGCTTTTCAAATCGATCCACCCTTTGCTTCCAATAGGATTGCTTCCAATAGGATTGCAACATCGCCCACAAAGATTCTACACCCAACCGGTGGCCCCCCACTGGCCCACAACTTGCTCATCGGAGCGGTACAATGCATGTGTACTCTGTCCTGTACTACATACAGTATACGGTACTGTACCCTTGATACTGTACCGCCTCAGACTCACTACACTGGTCTCTACCAGTACAAGTAAACTTTACTCTGCAGTTCTGTACAAGTTACAAGAAACTTCAGATGACTGTACAATCCCAAAATCCCCTAATCCCCTAATCCACACGACCTCTTCCAGGAGTACAATGATTGCCAATCGCATACCATCCCGCCATTCCAATTCCATGGAGACCTATCCCAAGAGACCTACTGTGCCCACCGCACTGTATCCCCCCCCATTCGGTCCGTCTACGCGTGAGGGTGTGTCCCTGAGTCCGAGTCCGTCTCCGCTGTACACCGCCCCTATCTTCGTCCCATCTTCCGCGAACAACAACGCCGCACTTGATCACCGTATGTACTGTACCCTTGGTACCTCACACAACAATCCTTGCAACAAGATAAACTGCACGGCACCCTTACAACAACGTGCAGTGCCTCACTCACCACACCGCACTACGAGCGAGAGGGGTAAAGGCTCACGGAAATTTTGTGCATCTCCGCCTTGTCTGAGGGGTGGACACCCCCCTCCCACGGCATTATGCTCCAGGTACAGTATGCCAAGCTCTGACACCATGTCTTAGAATTCACATTCCGCCTTCGCTTCCACATCCGTCGTTTCGCCGTATCCCCTCGCGCATTGCGAGATGCATCGCCCGCCTGCAAATCTATAACACTTCTACGATATCGCAACCCCGTTTGAGCAAGCAAATGCAGTAGGGAGAAGGCCCATCTCAAGCTCATCGATCGCCACAACTATATCTTCCCCTGCGTTCTCGCGTGCTATTGCACATCTCTACTCTCCAAACTTTTGCCAATTCAGATTTCTCTTTGTGCTGGACCAGTCCCGTTTCACTTGCGCCAAACCGCCTCTGTTCTTTAGAGCGGCGGTTTGTCCGTTGCTCATGGCTCTTCATAAAAAAAACCCGGTATGACGCTCTTCAATCAGCGGTAACGGCAAGTCTGCAAATCTTGCAGGGAACGATTTCACCCACTCCGTGTGAGGGAGGTATCGTCTGACACATCTGAACCGCACTACACCACCAGCTTGATCACTTTCCTTTCTCTCAGGCCCCATTCCAACTCTCATCGCTCCTCAGTGAAGCATCGTAGACAACATCCATTCTCGCCATTCAAGTGAACCGCTCAAAAAAAGCAGGTGTAGCACAATGCCTAGGACTTCGATTCCGGAATCACCTGTTTCAATCTTACCATTGCGTTGTTGCGAGCTGCGAATCTCCGCGCCGCAAATAAGTTACCCCGCGTGCAGCTGGTTGTTCTGTGCCCAACGACGCTTTTAGATAAGTTCTGTCCAGTAGTGACAGCTCTGCGATCTCGCACTGTATAAGCTCCGCAATACTTCCAGTTCTCTCATCTGGACCCAACCGTATTCGAAACTGATGCACGATGTCAGCGCAATCCGGAAATGAAATTCTGAGGTGAACATTTGCATCTGTTAAATTGTTCCGTTCCATGAATCCTGCCGAATACGGTCAAGGTCCTCCATGCGTTCCGTAAAATCTGTGTGATTTGTGTCGAGCCTCATTTTCCGGAAATAGATCCTTTCTACTTGTATCTGATTTCCTATACTGCTCACGATTCAAGGAAGTGCATGTTTGCATGAGAAGTAGCAGAAACAAGTTCTCTATCTGTGCAACCGCAAGGCAGCTTAGAATCCACCCGTCTCGACCCTGACTTCCTGCGAAAAGTGCAATAGTAGGGCTAGGCATGGCTTGTGTCGCGCGCCAACGAGATAAGTGCACTTGGTACGCTTCGGAATTCCAATAAACCCGAGTCAGTGAAGGGCTGTCAGAAGGCGTAATATCGATAGCACGATGAGGCGATAATTCACTTCTTCAATGGGAACTTGCGCACTAATGACTTTTCGAGCCTCCAAGCTAAGCTTTTCTACATGGTTAGAAATGGCGAAGCAGTTGCCAGGAAGCTGAGAAAAAAAAATAATAAGCACCAATGGCTCTTTAGCCTCCAGGCTGGAAGGGTTTTATTTCTATCAAAACACATCAGTCTCGAATCGATTGACTAAACGTGTGGGCACGTGTCCATGGCCATTCCGAACAACGCTAAAGGCTCTGCGAATGACTCACATAAGAGGAGCCGACATGTTTCATAGCCAAACATCGCCTGATGGCCCGATTTCCCCTTCCAGCATTAAGTGGAGACGAAAAACTTCGAGAAAATCAGAAGGTTGACGATGCGAATACAGTTATCCGTAAGGAAATATGCCCTTTCCTTTGTTCGCTGTTCTCCTGAACGTACTGGATGGCCATGAAGAGACTCTTACATAGTCGTATTCTGGATGACGAATTGTTCTAACGAGTGATCGTGTCTACGCAAAACATTTTTTTTGCACCCCCATTTACGTATTTGCGGTGCGGTCTGTTCTCGGCGTAATAGAGCGTGACCCTGAGATTCAGCATCTACGCACGCCCACTGCACATCCGCCTTTGAAATTCGGGTCAAGCTGCACAGGACTGTGAGTCAATACTAATTCTCATTTAACGGTGCGAAACAGATCTCAGAATTACACTGCGGCATCTATTCAGAAGAGAGGGCACATCCGTGTTGTCGTGGTCGTTTCTATGCGTACAGCATACATACCGTATATGAGAGTGTTGTAGGCTTTGGACATTCACTCCGTTCTTCGCTGTCGAAAGGGGCTTCCCGATTGCTCAATTTGCGGGCTGATAAAAAAATCACTTGCGATACACCTCTCCGTTGCCCAAAAGGCAATCGCAAAGCATTGACTGTGGAAATTTGTGGTGTTGTTGTTGCACTCGTGCATTGGTGTGAATATCGGTTTCCGTATGCCCGATCTTGAAACACACGCTGCTGCTGACTTCCAGTCTGTTATGCTCCCGAGTTTTGAGAGGCCCAATGAGTGCAAACATACTGCGACAGAGTGTTTAATTCCGCTAGGCCGGAGTGTTTGCCATTCTCAGTCGGGAACATATATTCGTGCAGGGGTGTTGGTGAATGGGTGGTTTGACATGGAAAGTGCTGGACTCAATAACGGCACCAAACCAGTGCTTTTATGATACATTCTTCTCTTTCCGTCATTCTAATGTCGCTTTCGTGTTTGTGTGTGAGGTGGTTATCTGATTGGAAAGTGGTTTTGCAGCGTTTCACCACCGCTGTGTCCATTGTTTTCTATCTAAACTGCAGCCTGGCGGCCTCATTGAGGTCATACGGAAGGTGATATCGCTCAGGTGCCGTTGACATAGAAGGACGATGCTGTTTCAGAGTCTCAAGACAGAGTTGTTCTTGTCGCAGGACTTCCCAGCCCCCTCGCGAGTCCAAGTGCGGCACGGGTTTAATATCGTTTTGAAGAATGACTGTACTTATTGAAATCTGCCGTGTTTCGTGGTCCGAACAAGTTGCAAGTGACGGTGCGAGGCATTACTTGAACTTCTTCCTTCTATATTCCATGTGAAAGAGAAACTTCAAAACAAACAAGTGGTCCAGGACTACCAAAACCCTCAGATCTGTTACCTATGTGTCAACCCTCTCCCCTTTTTGTAATGGTCAGAGTAGCTCATGCGAGCTCAACTGCCTGCATGCATCGTATACAAACACTCATATTTGGAAGTTGCGTCGTCATACCGCAAAGCACACAACGAAGCCTGTCAGCGACAAAACCCAGTACCCTTGGTACTGTATGGTACATCTCAAGAAGCGTCTCGTGGGATCTCGATACAGTAGTGCTTCAGTAAAGTTTCGCCATGGCACGCGATGGTCCGGGCTGTCTCGGGCCAGTGCCCGAGGGACTGCTGAAGCGTTTCTGTTTCTGTGAGTTACCGGCTAAGGGCTGAAATTAGGACAACAGTGCCGGCACGTTTCTGATACGTTTCACATCAAGTTTAACGAGCTGTACATTTAACCTCTCTACTGTGAGTGTGCGTGTTGACTATGAAACGAATGGTGTGGGACCGGGTGTATTCTTCCCCGTAATGACGATTTGCTGTGTGGACTGAACTTTCACTTCCTATTGATGATTTACTATTGTTTGAATGAGAGTATAACGATCTTTTATGGTCGTATTGTAGTTCCTCGCAATTTGGTTTATGTGAGCGAACTGGGTTGGGGTAGTATAAAAGGGTAGGCTTCTGACTCGACTAGCGAGAAGAATGAAGAGCCCAGCGAAAAAAGCAGATACACACAACACATCAAGGTCAGAAGCTTCCGTCTGTCGGAAGACCTGGATGAGTAAAACACCGTTCGTCGGTGTCACCGTTTTTTCCAATTTCTGTATTTTACAGACTGATTTTTCAGTATTTCTACATCTACCTCTCCCGAAATCATCAAATTTGGGCAGCTCTTATTTTGGATAGCCTCCATAAAGCCAAGTGGCAAGCAGAAAGCTCATGTAACACGTCATATCACACACATTAAAATATATATAAAGGGGGGGGGGGGGGGGGGGGGGGGGCAACCCAAAAACCGAACATGAACAAAATTGCGAACATTTCAAATTATTGGTGATTTCCGGGCCATGCGCCTCGGAAAACACAAACATCGTCTCAATAAGTTCGATACACTCGAATCTTATGGAAAAAAATAAAAGGGGCCTTTGCCAAATGGTTCACAGTTGGCCAGAGTTATTGCCAAACCGTTAACTGTAATAATTAATACAATGCGAAATGGTTCATAGCTGGGCAGCCTGATTGCGAAACAGTCCGACAGGACCCCAGAAATGCAAAATGGTTCACAGTCCCACATGTTCTATTGCAAAACAGTCCCCATCTGGGCAGTCGAATTGCAAAAAAAACTCACATTTAGGGATTCGTAATGCCAAACAGTTAACATGTGAGCAGTGGCATTGCGAAATAGTCAACCATGCTCCGAAAAGTGACAAACATTTCATACTGGATTCGCCGTGGCCGTTGTTCTCTGTCCACATCACAGATCTACTGCCCACAAAATCACAATCACTGCGTTGTCTATCTACTCTGCTGATCAGAAGGGGAAACTCCGAGACGGTGACGTCGGCAATTAGGAATCCTGCTGACAAATCAATGTTTCCGTCGGTAGCCGTTCCCCGTACATGCGGCATCCCCACTCGCAACCTTTTTTCCCGTGTACACATGGTTTCTGTCGCAGCCAAGCAAGGCTACGACCAGAGCACACTCGTACCCCGCGAGCTGTCTGTGCCGCGGTGGCAAGAGCAGTAACCTCTCTCTGCTACTGTTGCCGTTCCCACGATGGTTGATGTCCGAGCAAGCAGCACCCCTCCAGACCCCAATCTCTTCCTCCCCATCACCGCTTCGCTCAAGCGCGGCCGCCCTAGCACCAAGCGCAGGGCTTAAATGGGAAAGGAGAGAGTCTTACGACGATGTTTAGTCCCAAAGACCCACACATCACTGATTGAACGGCTTTTTCGGCCGTTACAAACCGTCTCTTCGACTGCTTCCACCTCTCCTTCTATTATTATTTTCCATTTTCGGCCGTAAACATTGGCACACTCCGTTTTGGTCCCAGCGACAATCTTGGTGAAGTATGCAAGCTTGCGCCAACTACAAGGGGCAGATAATTCTCAATTTTGTTAGTAGCTATATAATTGTTTGAAGGTGTAGAGGCGGTTGTGCTTCTGAGATATATCGCTGACGTATTTGAGTATGCTTTTATCTGGTTTCTGTTTTGGCCTATCCTTGTTATTTGGCGGGAGTCGAGCACATTCTCGTCATCTCTGTAGTTAAGAAGGTCTTTCCGGCCGTGGTTACTTAGCACTGGTACTCTTCTCTTCAGAGGAATCAGTCCTCAATTGAGGACAATTGGCGTCTAGCCACTAGGCAGGAGAGAAGTCGTGAGAAATGTGGGAGAACGGGTACCGACCGGTGTCGGTAAACGTAACGACCGGGAGGGAGATCCCGTAGGGGTGATCAGACGATACTGGAAAGGCAGGGGATAACTCAGCTTGTACGCGGGGTGCACGTACCGCCACGGGTGACAGGTGGCGGCGGAATGGCCACGTGTACCGCTGTTCGTATTATGTCCCGAGAGGGTACAGTAGACTTGGAGGTCCTACTGTAGGGGCGTAGAAATTAGTGTAATAGGAGTGTCAGCCGGGGGAGTCCCAGCTAGCACACGTGGTGCGCGCTCTGCCTGCGAGTACAGGTGGCAGGAGCACAGCCACGTGTGCCGCTGCGCAGATTACTCCCCGGTGGAGTACAGTAGAGGTACTCCACTGTAGTGATCCAAAGTAGAATTGGATCACAACTGTACTGCCCGGCCGCCGGAGGTCGACGTACTTAGGGGCCGAGGCAGTACGCCCCCAGAGTAAAGGGGGGCAGCGACCCCCTTTGGCGAGAACTGAGGAAAAACAGACAGATCGTCCCGTGCGGGTTATTCGTGAGGGCCGGAAGCACACGCTCCCCAGTTTGGTCGTTCCACCGCCTGGTGGAAGCGTATGCCCATTGAGCCCTATCCCCTCCGGGGTCGCAATTCCACTCGCCCGTTGACCGGAGTCATAACCGCCGCCCTCGCAGAGAGGTTGGCGGTGTTGTAATTTTACCGCTGCCGTGGACACCCCCTCCGTGACGGGGTATAAACCGAACCGGAAGGATCCATATTATTACAACTGGTCTCCCGACCTAGAAATCTATTTCTAGGATTCTTTATATTGATCTCCGAATCGGACGACCGGGATTGGAAGGGATCGAGAATCACCGCCTCGTTTCAAGATGAGTGGACGAGAAGACGCGAGATCGCAGGGGGGGTTCCCCCGAGACGTCAGGGGCGACGAGTCAGTAAATCGGTCCCAGCTGGGGGGACCAAGTCGCCCGGAGGGCTCGACGGATAACGTGGGCTCCGTAAGAAGCGCCGGGGCACGAGCGGCGCATGTGGAGCGCCTGGCCCGCGCAAGGACGCGATCGCAGACAAGAGCGGCATTACCACCGACGCCGGCGGAGGAGCCCCTCGAAGGCCGACAATGCGGAGAGAGCGAGCCGGCCCCGCCATAATCGGCGACGAACGTCCAAATAGGATGACGATCCACGGAGACGCCTTGGAGGCCCACCGGGACCTAGGGGACCTGACCCAGAGGGCGGCCCTAAACACGTGGTTGACGGCCGAGCTGGACAAGCGAATCCCGCCTGCCGTGGAGGCGCAATTGACAAGCACGCTCCGAAAGATCGTTGAGGATCACAGTCGGACCCTCGTAAGGAGCGCCGTGGACGAAGTAGTCGGACGCGGCCCCTTTTGGGACACGATCACTTCAACCGTGGGGGACTTTACCCGGGCAGAGGTACGCGCTCGAGCGCCGCAGGCAGAGCGACTGCCGTTGGCGGCAACGGACGTACTACCGCCGTCGCTGATGCCTGGTGTGGTACAACGACCGATCCGCGGTCGGTGTACAGTAGGAGCGGCCGCGCGCAGCGGGCACGGGGCACCGTGGCCCACGTGTAATACGCATGATCACCGAACGGGCGCAGCAAGTGACAGGTGTACGCTTGGGTACACGTGTAGTGTAAGGAACCGTGTGGGGATAATGCGCGCGCAGTGTAATGCAAGCGCGTAGTGTGAGGATCCGTGCGGTAGTGTAATGACGGCGCTAGAATTTCAATCGCGTACAGTACCTGGTCCACAGTAAGTGACAGGTACTGTATTGGACAGGTGTCCCGGGCGTCCCTCTGAGGGGTTAAGACCCGGACACCGTCCTCGCAGTAAACACGGGGGGCAGACTTGCCCCCCTCCCTTTCGCGCCTACGTACTACCGTTTCGGTATTCTCTCGCGCGTTGGCTTCTAACCCGTTACCGGTCGTCTCCGATCTAGCACCTCGGGACGACTGCGCGTAACCGGCCAGTGTGCCACTCCCTTTTCGCAAGTCCGACCGTTCGGTAACCGCGCGCCGCGCGTCTCGCGTCGCGAGCTCCCTCGGCTCATCCTCCGAGCCTCTCGCCCGCTAGGGTTTGAGGAGAGTTGTACCACACCTGGGAACGCGCTGCCGCAGTACCCTCAAATGGGACGTGAGACCGCGTGGGATGGAGAAGAGCGCGATGGCCAACTTCAAGCCTAAGAGATGGGACAGCCACCCGCGTTTCGGCCCGGAGCCGGCCGCGTAGTGCTGCCGACGCAGAAGAACCGGAGAAAGACCAAGGGCAAGGGATACGAGACCGGCGAATCGGAAGCTAGTGACGCCACGAGGGACGAAACAGATTCCTTTGAGGACGATTTTGAAGTAGACGTGAGGCATGTGCGTCGGATTCGCCCCCTAAACGACCTCTTTAAAAAGGTCATGGATCACCGCCGGTATCGGCTGCACAACCGTTCGGGACGATACAATGCCAAGGTTGCCAGCACTGTTTCGATGGCCGGAAAGCGGATGGATTTACAGATGAAGGGCGTGACCTTCAGTGGAGACGACCCGATTGCGGTGCTAAATTTCCTCTCTAGGTTTAGGGCGGCGTGCAACCAGAACGGCGTGCATGAGGGAGCAGCCCTCTGGTGCCTCCAGTTCTTCATGACTGGAACGGCCTTGGCAAAGGTGCAGACCCGTATTGTGGGGGAGTCTGGAGTAGCCGACGCCCGTAGGGACGAAGTGTTGTCGTCCTATCCGGAGGTTGTCAATTACCTCCTCAGGACATACGCGACCAATGAAGTCATCGCAGAAGCCTACGCCGAGGTAACGAACTTTATGCAGAGTTCGGGGATGTCCGAAACGGAGTATGGGACCGCCTCTGGAGGAAAGCCCTCCGCTGTGGGAATGTCATTTCCGATAATCGGCTCAAATCGCTCTTCGCAGAGGGGCTCCTTTCGGCAATCCGTACGCAGGTGCGTCACCACCTCACGACGCA